TAAATAAATAAATAAATAAATAAATAAATAATAAATAAATAAATAAATAAATAAATAAATAAATAAATAACATAAATAAAATAACTAAACAATACACAACAAGCAACAGCAACACCAGCAGCAGACAAGCAACATATAAGCAGCATATTAGCAGCAGCAGCAGCAGCAACAGCAGCAACAGCAACAGCAGCAGCAGCAGCAGCAGCAGCAGGAGTTACCTGCTGCCCTTAGAGGATATTCGCATGGCCGTTGGCTAAACAGCAGCAGCAAACGCTGCATCTCTTTGCTGTCTCTACTCTCTATCTCGTGCTGCAGCAGCAGCAGCAGCAACAACAGCAGCAGACGCAGCAGCAGCAGCAGCAGCAGCACATAGATTAAGAAAGGAGACAATAAATAAGATAATGGGCCTTAAGGTTCACTAACAACACCCAAGAAAATATTCTCTAGGGTTTAGGGTTTAGGGTTTAGGGTTTAGGGTTTACCAAGGTTAGCAGCAAACTTTGCTGCAGCGCAACTTGACGGGAGAAAGCAGCAGCAATTGTCTCCATCAATCCAGCTGAATAAATGCAGCAGCAGCAGCAGCAGCAACAACAACAACAGTAGCAGCAGCAGCAGCAGGAAGAGCAGCAACACTCATGAGGTCTTCTTCATAGGGAGATGGCTGCAACTACTGCTGCTGCTGCTGCTGCTGCTGCTGCAGCAGCAGCAGCACGAATGGCAGTCTCTCCAGGTGATTCTTCCGCTGCTGCTGCTGCTAGTGCTGTTGCTGCTGCTGCTGCTGGGGAAGGGACGTACCTATGTCTGCAGCCGTGGCTGCCTCATTCGGGTCTGCTGCTGCTGCTGCAGCAGGTTTGTTTGCAGCAGCAGCAGCAGCAGCAGCAGTTGCTGCTGCTGCTGCTGTTTTCATAGAAAAGTCTCTGCAGCAGCAGACAGTTTGCTGCATTGCCTTGACTGTCCCCTCCTGACAAACAGCAAAGACACGCATACGCTTTGCTGCTGCTGCTGCTGCTGCTGCTGCTGTTGATGCAGCTCCTGTTGCTGCTGCTCCTGTTGCTGCTGTTGCTGCTGTTAGGACCCACCAGCTCAGTATGCAAATCCTCGAGGCGAGTTTGCTGCTGCAGCAGCGCAACATTGTAATTTGTAAGACAGCAGGCCTGCAGCTGCAGCAGCAGAAGCAGCAGCAGCAGCAGAAGCAGCGGATGCAGCAGCAAGCAGCAGAAAATTGCATGCAATTATGTAGCACATGCTGCAGCAGAGGGAGAAATCACAAAATAGATGGCCTTCTAGCTGCTGCAACTGTTGCTGCTGCTGCTGCGGTTGCTGCTGCAGGTTCTGCTGCTGCTGCTGCTGCTGCTGCTGCTGCTTACTTGGGGGTTTAGCATAAGAGTTGCCAGATAATCTCCCTCGAGATACCTGCATGCACACTTCATGTGTACAGACAGGTTCTGCAGCAGCAGCAGCAGCAGCAGCAGCAACAGCAGCAACAGCAGCAGAAGCAGCAAGTGTGGGGTACAGCGAGAGCAGCAGCAGCAGCAGCAGAAGCAGCAGCAGCCGCAGCCTACCTCCTGTCTATTATCTGTCCCGTCATTTGCTGCAGCAGCGTATTGATTGTTTGCTGCTGCTGCTCATAAGACCGCAGCTGCTGCAGCAGCTGCCGCAGCAGCCGCTCCAACCCTAAACCCTCAGCCACCCCCATCAAGAGTTTAGGGTTTAGGGTTTAGGGTTTAGGGTTTGCAAAGGAGAGAAGATGTACTCAGAGGGAAGCATCTGACCCTAATAGTCCAGCAGCAGCTGCTGCTGCTGTTGCGGCTGTTGCTGCTGTTGCTGCTTCTGTTGTTGTTGCTGCTGCTGCAGAGCGGACCGCTTGCTGCTGCTGCTGGAGATACTGCTGCTGCTGCAGGTTCTGCTGCTGTTGCTGCTACTGCGCAACCTCAAATCCTGCAAGGAGTTGCTGCTCAGTTAGCAGGTCTGTAAACCCTCCGTAACCCTAAACCCTAAACCCTAAAACCTAGATCCACAGGTGAGCAGGTCCTCTAAACCCTCAATGCTGTTTGTGTTCTTCTTCTCCTTCAAGAAATTAATGTCGCCACCCCTGCTGCAGCAACAACAGCAGCAACAGCAGCAACAGCAGCAGCAGTAACAGCAGCAGCAACAGTTGGAGCAACAGCAGCAACAGCAGCAGCAAAACACTACAGCAACAGAGATGGCCAAAGCGCTGGGAAGGGTTTTTGTCTATAAACAGCTCAACGAATAATATTTGAATTCTAGGGTTTAGGGTTTAGGGTTTAGGGTTTAGGGTTTAGGGTTTAGGGTTTAGGGTTTAGGGTTTACTTCTGCACGGTGGGGTCAAGGATCGGGGTTTCTGTTGCATGCAGCTTTTACTAAAAGAATAAATATAATTAATGCAGCAGCAGCTGCTGCTGCTGCAGGAAAATATTAATAAATTTGCTGCTGGTGCTGCTTCTGCTGCTGCTGCAGGTGTTGTTACAGGACTGGTGTTCCAGCAGCAGCAGCAGCAGCAGCAGCAGCAGCAGCCGGTGCTGCAGCAGCGGAGAGGCGAAGACCTTCCTTCTTTTTTTTTTCTTTATTATTTTATTGAAATAAATTCAATTTATTTATTTTTAATTATTTTATGTTAAGTTGTTTCTTTTGTGTGCAATTTGCAGGGTTTAGGGTTTAGGGTTTAGGGTTTAGGGTTTAGGGTTTACTACACATCTTCTCCTGTTGCTGTCGGCTACACCAGCTGTTCTAATAAACTGACTCACGGGGTGTACAGGCAGCTCAAGAGTTAAACCCTAAACCCTTTTCTTCCTGTCCCCATTCTCTCCTGTTACACTTCTAGGGTTTAGGGTTTAGGGTTTAGGGTTTAGGGTTTAGGGTTTAGGTATGTGTGCTGCTTGTCTTCCTCTGCCTTCTGTAAGAAGGTCCAACAACACACCTGCAGCAACAGTGTGTATTGCTGCAGTAGCAGCAACAGCAACAGCAACAGCAACAGCAGCAGCACTAGCGAAGACAAAGCAGCAGAAGCAGCAGAAGCAGCAGCAGCAGCAGCAGCATATGCTTTTCGGCAGCAATCTTCTGCCTCTAAAGCAACGACGACAACAACAGCAACAGAAGCAGCAGCAGCAGCAGCAGCAACAGCAGCAGCAGCAGCAGCAAGTTCTCTTGTAGACGAATCTTCTTCTTGTTCCTTTTCTTTCTAACACAACAACCACCACCACACCACCACCACTATCAGCAGAAGCAGAAGCAGCAGCAGCAGCAGCAGCAGCAGCAGCAGCAGCAGCAGCAGCAATGGTGCGCTTAATTCAGGTGTATGTGGAGGGTATGAAGTGCAGCAGTTGCTGCCAATCAATTCAATCAGCAATAAGATGTCTCTCTGGTGTACATACAGCACAAGTATTATTTAATAATAAATTAGCTACTATCTGCTGCAATGATGAGGTTTGTCTCCTGCTGTTGCTGCTGCTGCTGCTGCTGCTGCTGCTGCTGCTGCTGTTGCTGTTTAGGATGTAGGACGTGCTGCTGTTTTTCCTGCTGTTTAAGCATCAATAGGTCCTCCTATACGAAGATTTAGGGTTTAGGGTTTAGGGTTTAGGGTTTAGGGTTTAGGGTTTAGGGTTTAGGGTTTAGGGTTTGTGCTGCAGGTAACAGAGCAGCAGCTAATAGACTTTATTCAGGGCCTCGGCTTCAAAGCAACACTCTGCAGCAGCAGCAGCAGCAGCAGCAGCAGCAGCAGCGATAGAGGGAGAGGAGACAATAGGGGGACAGCTGAGCTGTCGTCCCCGTCTACGCATGCAGCAGCAGCAGCAGCAACAGGGGAGGAGCAGCAGCAGCAGCAAGCCAAACGCAAGTTAGCCACCTTCCAAGTTACCGGTGAATTAGGGTTTAGGGTTTAGGGTTTAGGGTTTAGGGTTTGCGGTGGGGGGTCTAGTATAGCAGCAGATGCAGTTCTCTTATTCGCTGTTTTCCTTGCTGCTGCTGCTGCTGCAGTAGGCGACATGGAACTATTTGCTGCTGCTGCTGCTGCTCTTGCTGCTGTTGCTGCTGCTGCTGCTGCAGGGATGAGTTGCGGTTCTTGTGTACGGACAATAGAGCAGCACTTGCTGCACCTCCCGGGTGTCACTGCAGCAAATGTCTCCTTGCTGCTGGAGCGGGCAACTGTAGAGTACCGTGCTGCTGCTGCTGCAGCAACAGCAACAACAGCAGCAGAAGCAGCAGCAACAGCAGCAGCAGCAACAGCTGCAGCAGCAGAACATGGAGAATCTACAACAACAGCTGACGAGCTGCAGCAGCAACTAACCAGCATAGGTTACCGTGTGCTGCTGCTGTCTGACCAAGTAATGGTGCAGCAGCAGCACGACAGCAGCAGCAGCGCAGCAGCAGCAGCAGCAGCAGCAGCAGAATCTGTCTTGCATGTTAGCCCTATAGACGTGCGGTCTCTTGGCGACCCCGTGTTCAATATAAATAAGGCAGCAGAAGTTGCTGCTGCTGCTGCTGCAGCAGCAGGAACTCCTTCTACGTATCCTTGCTGCCCCCCTGCACCAACTGCTGCTGCTGCTCCTCCTCCTCCTGCAGCAGCAGGAGCAGCAGCAGCAGCAGCAGACAGCAAGGCGGCTGCTGTATGGGGCAAAAGCTTTAAGGATTTCTTGCTATCTGTCCCTGGCGTAGTCTCTGTAGCAATAGCAGCAGACACAGCAGCAGCAGCAGCAGACCACAGCAGCAGCAGCAGCAGCAGCAGCAGCAGCAGCAGCAGCAGCAGCAATATATGTGTACGTATAGTATACGCACATAAGAAGATAGGGGCAAGACAGCTGCTGCTGCTGTGCTGCAGCAGCAACTGGATGGTCCAATGGTCACCTAGAGGGGAGATATTATTTAGTGCAGCAGCAGCAGCAGCAGCAGATCTGCAGCAGCAGAAAAAAAGATTCTTTGCTGCTGCTGCTCCTTCCTTTATTATTGTCTTATTAACTATGATTATACCTAACAATTATTTACGCATATTAGTAAGAAAAAAAAAAGGAGACACTTATTTATTCTCTCCTTTTTTTCTCTCCTTTTTTTTGTCTCCTTTTTTGTCTCCTTTTTTGTCTCCTTTTTTGTCTCCTTTTTTGTCTCCTTTTTTCTCCTTTTTTGTCTCCTTTTTATTTATTGTCTCCTTTTTATTTATTTGCTGTCTCCTTTTATTTCCTGTCTCCTTTTGCTGTCTCCCTCCTCTTATTGTCTCCTTTTATTTGTCTCCTTTTATTGCTGCTGCTGCTGCTGCTGCTGCTGCTGCTGCTGCAACTATTTTGCCAATCCTATGAGTGCAGTCCTTATACTGTTGCTGTTTGTGCTGCTGCTGCTGCTGCTGCTACTGCTGCTGTTGCTGCTGTTGCTGCTGTGTCTGTGCTGCAGCAACAGGAGTCTTTTTTACCAGGTTTATCTTATTTATTATTAATAATAAGTATATTATCTTTTTATGTTGTATATGCTGCTGGTGCTGCAGTACATTGTCTTGCTGCAGCAGCAGCAGCAAAAAAAACAGCAGACATGCATGTCTTGATGTCTTTAGCAACAAATATTTCTTTTATTTATTCATTATTTGTATGTATTATTACTGTTATATTTAATATAAGCAGCAGCAGCAGCAACAGCAGCAGCAGCAGCAGCAGCAGCAGCAAAGGCCCACGCCTATCCTTTTATACCTCCTGAGCAGATGCTGACGACTGCATGCAAAGGATTATATCCTGCTGCAGCAGCACAGCAGCTACAGCAGCAGCAGATTGCTGCTATTGCGTCTCTTCCTGCTGCTGCTGTCCCTGTTGAGCTGCTGCAGTTAGGAGACATTCTTAGAGTCCCCTTAGGCTCTGCTGTACCTGCAGATGGTATACAAATTAATAAGGTCTGCTGCTGCTGCTGCTGCTGCTGCTGCTGCTGCTGTTGCTGTTGCTGCTGTTGGTGTTGATGCTGCTTGTGCTGTTGTTGATGCTGCTGCTGTTGCTGCTGCGACTGTTGTTGTTGTTGTTGCTGCTGCTGCTGATTAAAATGTGTTATGAGGGTTACCATACTTGCTGCTGCTGCTGCTGCTGCTGCTGTTGCTGTTGCTGCTGCTGCTGCTGCTGCAGGAGATAATTCCTATTAATGAATCGTTACTAACAGGGGAGAGTCATCCTGTCTGTAAGGGACAAGGGGAGACAGTCTTAGGTGGCTCTATTGTTGTTGCAGCAGCAACAGCAGCAGCAGCAGCAGCAGCAGCAGCAGCAGAAGCAGCAACAGCAGCAGCAGCATCAGCACCAGCATCGTTATGCAGCAGCCCTTCCCCGTCACAAGAGAGAGACAGCTCGCCTACAGATGGCGCTGCTGCTGCTGCTACTATTGCTGCTGCTCAGCATCATCAGCAGCAGCAACAGCAACAGCAGCAGCAGCAGCAGCAGGAAGAAGAAGAAGAAGGAGGAGGAGCGTTGCTGCTGCAGGTAACAGAATTAGGCAGCAGCTCTGCCTTAGGGCAAGTGCAGCAACTCGTGCTGCAGTCATACAGCAGCAAACCTCATAAGCAGCAACTATATGATAAAGTTGCAGCGTAGGTTGCTGTTGCTGCTGCTGCTGCTGCTGCTGCTGCTATTGCTGTTGTTGTTGCTGGTGGTGGTGGTAATCGTGCTGCTGCTGCTGCTGCATTTGTTCCTGCTGCTGTTGCTGCTTTGCTGCTATAACGTCTCCTAGAGATACTTAGCAACTCCCACAACTGCGCTCAAGGGTTTAGGGTTTAGGGTTTAGGGTTTAGGGTTTAGGGTTTAGGGTTTATGTATTATTGTGCTGCAGTTATTTTGTACCTATAGTATTGCTGCTTGCTGCAGCAACATTTATATTATGGTTATATTTGCTGCTGCAGGGGATCGTCTCCCCGATCCCCTTGCTGCTGCATATACCTATATATATAATAAGGAGACACCTTCTTCTTTCTTATTTGCTGCTGTCCCTCCAATTCTCTGTCTCTGTTCTATCTATTGCTTGTCCTTGTGCACTCAGTAAGATTATACCTTCTCCTCCTGCTGCTGCTGCTGCTGCTGTTGTTGTTGTTGTTGTTGTTGTTGTTGTTGTTGTTGTTTTTGCTGCTTGTGCTGCTGCTGCTGCTGCTGCTTCTTGTGCTGCTGCTGCTCCTCCTTGTCCTGCTGCTGCGGTTGTTGGTTGTGGTGGTGCTGCTGCTACTTGTAGTGGCAGTATTTCTATTTTTATTGCTTCTTTTTTTGTTGCTGCTGTTGCTGCTGTTGCTGCTGTTGCTGCTGTTGCTGCTGCTGCAGGTATTGCTGCTCCTATAGCACAAGTAGTCTGCTGCAGCATAGCAGCAAGGAATTGTCTCCTTATTAAGGAGACAACAGCAATTAATTCTATGCATTTATTAACAGATTTTATCTTTGATAAGACAGGCACATTGACCACTGGTCAGGAGAAGGACTGCTGCTGCTGTTGCTGCTGCTGATGCTGATGCTGCTGCTGCTGTTGCTGTTGCTGCTGGTAGGG